TTTATTGAATATCTTTTTATGCGGCCATCAGTTTTCTCAGTTTTCTAATGCCCGGCCCCTGCCACATTGCCTTTCGCTTGAGCAGTGGCACATACCAAAAACGTAATCGCAGGCTATAAAAACAAAAGCAGAAAACTAATAATCGTGCGCGCCGATAAACACAGAAATACATACGACGACACTGGATGGGTGGGTGGTGGGGTAAGAGCAGCCATACATAAGAGTAGCATACTTAGCGGCTTGCAGGCAAGGAAAATGTTTCATATCGCATAGAAGTAGCTGTGGATGGCGGGGGACGACGGCAAAGTAAACAATAAAGTTAAACCGCGATAACCAGCATGACAAAGGATAATGTATAACATGCGCACGAAAGGACATTGCCGATTAGCCGTGGCAGCCAGTTGAGGCGTAAGAAAATGTGCGGACCAGCGACCGAAGACAGAGAGAGGGAGAGAATGAGAGAGGGAGGGAGGGGAGCTGGGTACCCCTTCTTCATTCTGGCCATGCTTACAATAGCATGTAAAATTAAATTTTATTGTAATGCCAGCAAATGTGTTTTTCCAATGGCGGTTTTCCTACAAGGTTTCTTCGCTGCTGCTCAATTGGAGCGACGACCATTGTTTTGTAGTTTGTTTTGTTGTGTCACACAGCACTGAAGTGCCTGACAAGGGTGGTGGGTGCTGGGTGGTGGCAGGTGGGGAATGCGCCCTGTGTTTTCGTAACAGTTGGTTGGCCAAATTAGTTCACTGCTGCACCCCATTGGGAACAATGCAATTCGATGTGGTTTCGAAACCAAGGGCCAAGTTAAAGGTGTCCACAAAAGCAGTGGGAATTGATTTGTAGGTATTGTGTTAATGGTAAGGAATTTGTTCTTAACTTCAAACAATGATCATAATAAAATGAATCATAAATATGCGACATGTAAACAGAACAATCAACATCCCAACCACTCTAGGGAATTCACTCCACAATTTGCATAAAACTTCGAATTTAATGAGATATAAATTTCTTACTTTATCAATAAGTATTATAAGAATTTTTCAAGAAATGTTGGAAAAATAAGCGAAATAGTTACATAATGACATGAATGCTGTTGCCCGTAAGAAATTTTTAACAGACACAATAAAGCTTTGGCAATTGATTTGTGGGTATTTTGTTAATGGTAAGGAATTTGTTCTGATTTTTGAAGAAGTTTAAAATAAAAATGATCATAACAAAATGAATCTGAAATATGCGAGAAGTAAGCAAAACAACCAACTGCCCACACACTCTTGGGATTCAGACTCTTTAAAACTTATTATTAATTTTTATGAGATATACATTTCCAAGCAGTTCTTATAATTAAGTATTGCAACAATTTTTAGAAACTATTGAATTTGATAGTAATATTGCAAAAATATGTACGATTATATTATATATTATATTATATGATTATTATATATACGATTATAATATTGGCAATGAATATTGTCTTCATATTTGAAAGATTTTCGGACCCATGAGACATTTTCAGCATACATACTTGTTTGGAACATTTTAAGGACTAGTATGCTCGTTAAACTTTTGGCAAACTTTTGGCTAATTGAACTTCATTAGCAGTATACGTACAACATGCGACCAGCCACTTGGCATTAATTAGCCATTGTACGAACTTCAGCTCATTAATGTGCGGAGCAAACAAAGCGCGGAGACGCATACCTGAGCCCAAGTCCAAGTCCAAGTCCGAGTCCGAGTGCAAGTATGGCGATGGACCAACCCATTCAGCGTACGTGTCAAATTAGAGACGTTTTTACAAGGCCAAAAGCGTTCTTAAGCCGCTTGCTTGTCAGGCAGTCGGAGTCAGAGTCGGAGTCGGTGTCGGAAGCAAAGTCAGATACAGAGACCATGGTACTGGACGTGTGGCAAATCAATCTCCTTCAACTGGAAGTGGGCAGTTGGAAAACTTTTGCGCAACTACACGAAATTGCCTACTTTTGTGCGTTGTTGACTTTAGACGTTGCCGTCGTTGCTGTTTCCTAGAACTTGGGCCAAGTGTTGTTGTTGTTGTTGTTATTATTCTTCTGGTAGTAGTTGTTGTTGCTTTGTCTGCAGCACGTTGATTGCTTTTTCATTGCGTTTTGTTAGCGTCGTTGACGCAAACTTTTCTCTTTCGAAGCTGTTTGTGTGGCTGTGTGAGATTTTTTGTGCTCTTCTTCTTTGTTCATTTTCCTGCTACCTGCGCGGCATTTTCCACTTGCATGATTGCAAACCGAAAAACATATCGTCAGCAATTAAGCGCGCATTCAAAGCCTCGCCCGTTGCTGCTGCAGCCGCTTTTTTTCCAATTCGATGCTGGATTTGGGCGTCTGTCTGTCAGGCGCTTAAAATCAAATGCGATTTATCAGTTGTGGCACGGGGAACGGATATCGGGGATGGGATGAGACTCATGGCTTACAACAACTCTGCCAAGCATTTAAAAAAATTTTTTTTTTTTTTGTAATATTTTTCTTTGTACACGACTGTTGCCGCCGCCATTTATCATGGGGGCTCGAGCTCCATTGTTGCAGCTGTCTTTGCTAGTTTATGACAGGACAGACTCGACCCAAAAATATATATCTTATAGATATTTCTTTAAAGTTTATAGACATACACACACACACACACACACACACAAACGCCTGCTGTCATAAATGGGCAACTTGGCTCTAGCTGTAAAGTTTGTGCCGACTCTCAGTTGTCGGCAGTCGGCAGTCGGCAGTCGTTGAGTTCGATTTGCCATTTGCCGCTTTTCGTAAACGTTTTACAAATTGATTTATGTGCTTAACATGTTGGAAATAACGCACGTCCCCCACACGAGCCACCCCCCGACGTCTCTTACAATTAGATTGTGCTGCAAAATCAACAGAAAAAGTTTCGGCCCGCCCGACACAACCTACAGACCTACCGACTGAGCCGAGCACATCAATCATCGATAATGTCGATGGCGTCGGCCATTGCGCGTGTTTTCTCTGCTCTTCTGTTCACTTCTTGGCCTCTTCTTTTCGTTCTTATTTTTTACTTTCTTTTTTTTTATTAATAAAGCATTTGTTTTCCCATAATGAGCAACGACGGACGCCTGTCAGGGATTTGCGATGTGCCGCCTTTGCCTAACGCATCACAATTTCAACGCAGACAAAAACTGCTCCCTCGGGATGCGATGGTTTGATTTTCCTCTGACAGATTGGGTTATTGGCTGGTGTATGGGTGGACGAGACGAGTATAAAAAACTGCCAGCAGTTTGTCAAGTTATTATTACCAATAGAAGTATATACATACATAAATATATAATATTTTTTGGCGCTGCGCTTATTTTTTATTCTCGCCTTTTGTCAGTTAAACCTGTCGCTGTTTTATCTCGCCTGGGCTTCTTTTTTCTTTTTTTTTTTTGAATTGTGCTTTGAGCGGCTTTTTGCAGCCATTTTATATTTGTCATGATTGATGATTGCCTATAATTCTAATTTGGTTGCAGTCTTTTGGGCATTATTTGACTTTTTAGTTGAGAGGATGACATGGAACAAGTGAAGTTTCTCTACCAACGATGACTAAGTCATAAAATAAAATTTCCAAAGTTTTTTTTTTGACTCCTCTAATCGATTTGCATTTTTCCAAATTCTTGTATAATTGTTCCTTTTCCATTATATCTGGATGGATTTTAACCTTTGAAATATTGTGTTAAAATGTTATGCTATCTAATGGCCATCCTTTTATACGCTTTCATAATTAAAGGGAAAATGCTGATGGGACGGATTTTAAACAGCTGTCATGTTATACTATGTATTTATTCTTAAGTGTTTTCATTCCTCTATTTCCTCACAGTCAAGTTTTGTTTTAAATTTGATTTATTAATGACCTAAATCTGATTTCCGGCTTACTTAACGCGTTTGTTCTTCCATAATTGCCATTTCTTGATAACTTAAGTGTTTCTATACTACGATCTCATTTCTTTTTCATGTTGATGTCCCCTTTTCTTGTACTTATCGATGGCTTCCAAAATGTTATTGCCATGTAATGAGCCTGAAAATGACTTTTCGACGCACTTTGACGCTAATCAAATTTGATTCACCCTGAGAGCTTTCGGCGGCTGCTTTTTGGTACCGTTTCCCACTAACAGCTCGTTCTTGTGCAAAAAGTTTCGCTGTCTGCTTTTAGGCGCCGGCAACATATTTGCAAACAAAGTGGCTGCTGCTTCTGTCAGCAACATAAATTCAATAAAAATATTTACAACCATTAACACGCGTTCAGCGCACAAAATGCCACAAACCAAGCAGAGAGAACCCCAACATAATACTCTCCTCACATACTTTTATATTGACAGCAAAATGGCGCGTAAGCATAAATAGTGGGGCGCAGAGGGTTGACAAGACATGGCAGGCACAGACATGACGCCTTCGATGCCACCACTGTGAGTGTCAATGCCAATAAAAACGCGCAACATCCATATACTTGTACCACATTTTTGCCACATTTTGCATACGAGTATTGTCGCATGAGGGTTACAAAACGCAACCGCTCTGGAGTCGGCGTCGGCGTCGGCATTGGCGTCGATGACGCCTCAAAGTATGCAGCATGGAAACATCAAGTGCGACTCATTTAACGCTCCGCACACCCTCGACGACAAGTGCGAATCTCTAAAAAAAAGCGAAAACTGCCAAAATGCGCGCCATGTGCGCGGCTCGTAAAATTTTCGCAACGTTTTTCCGATTTTTGGCATTTCACCCACACATATATAAGTACGTACATATCCTAGGGGATGTATATATAATTTTTTTTTTTTTTTTTTTGGTTGCTGTTGTTGCTATATATATTTGTTAGCCGTGCTGCCACCTAATGGCTAAAATATTATCACGCGCCATTTTTTGAGGTAATTTCACGCATACGAGCGCTAATTTATTTTGATTGCCAGGTGCTCGCCCACCCACAATGCGTTTCTGATGGCACCCTGGTGCTGGTAATGTCATTCCCATCTCTACTTGTATACTTACAGCGCACGCTGAGGTAATAACCAATCGACGAGTATTGGAAGTTTAGATGCCGCGACGTGCATTTATACCAGCCGGAATGCTCGCGCCTTATGGAGGTAAAGTTGAGAAACCCATCGCCGGTTTGTGGCACCTGCAAGAAATGAAAAGAGAGTTCACGGTGTGAGAAGTGCGAGAAGTTTGTGGATGAGATAAGTGGTGGTGCATGCATGTCGCTACCGAGGGGTAAACAATTTTTGGTAATTAAGGATAGGCAAATAGTTGGTACAACTGAACGAAAATCCATTTAAAACTTGCTCCTTGTTGCTGGCTGCGCCATGAAAAATCACAAAGCCACGCCCAGCCTACAAGGATGCATGCAAGAGTTTAAGTTTGACTTTGACTTTGACTTACCGGTGTGTCTCCGTCGTCCTTTTGCCAACGCGGCGTGCTCGGCGGATTCGAGTCGACGTCACACTTGAGGCTAACTTCGATGCCCTCCCGCAACGGATACCCGAAGCCAGGTGTGCGCGAAATGGCAAACGAGGGTGTGTCTATGTGGAAGGAGAAAGGAAGAGAAAGATAGGTAGATATTTGGTTAGTTATTTTTGGCAAGTGTCTTCTGCGTCACCAACGTCGCTGTATGGTGGCTGTGGAAAATCTACAAAATAGTTTTTAATTAAAAAATTACGCCACAAAAATAAACGCAACTCGAGTTGAGTGGAGACTAGCAGAGGCGAGGGCCCAGCCAGGCAGGAAACTTTTATAATTAAACTAAATGCAAATGTGTTTGGCTTTTTGATGTTGTGCTCAACGGCTAAGACGGCTAATGGGTTTCGTTGTCGTTGTCGCTCTTGCAAAAGTGACGAAAAAACTTTGCACAATGCAAGCGAAATGAAAAGTAAATAACGACACATTCTTATGGGGAAAGCCTTAAATGAGATGAGCAAGATGTGATAAATAAGATGGTACTGTTTCAGAAATTATCGATGAGGTGACAACAAATCGATGGATGATATTCAAACGCTTATATATGTTTTAGGTGTCTGAGTATTTTCTGAACAAAAGAAAAATAACTAGAATGCTGCTGAAAGCTCCATTATGAAATTAAAAGTAGTGCATCTTTAAAGAATCTGTTTATGACATTATCAATTCCCTTCAAAAAAAAAAAAAAGCTCCTAAAAAGATGTCCTTAATTATGCTTTAAATTGAAAAAGTCTAAGACTATGCAGCACGCCTTGCAGTCCATTGAATTTTTTGTTAAAGATATAGTAGAACTTAGCATTTTTTTTTGTTTGGTCATTAAAAGAAATGGGAAATGTGAATAGAACTGCTCATGGAAATTGCATAAAACCTTTCAATCTGTGCAAAGAGCCATTTGAAGATATTTGCTACTGTATTTTTGCAATTTCAATTCAATATCGACAAATCTAATGCAAGTGAAATTCGGATCCCAGGCTACCAATCAAACATCCATTCAATGCATGTCGAAAAGCCATCGACTAAATGCAAATGTAAACACATTACATGTATACTCGTACTACGTACATGTTGCTCTAATAGCGATGCCCATGCATTCATTCAATGCATATTCATAGGCATAAATCAAATGTTTTTTAATTAGTGTTACATTTGTAGCCACACAATCGCCACCAATGCCAGTGCCCAAAAAAATATTCAACAAAATGTTCACATTGATTTCAATCTTTTCAATTTTTCTCCCATTTCTTTTGTGGGCTTTGTAACTAATACAATTTGATTATGGCATGGGGGCTAAGGACGGTCGGGGGTCGGGTGCTAGAACGGGCCTGCTTTGAATGAGAGTCGAAATTAAATTTGTTTGTCGGTTGTTTGCCAAACTATACGTATTCAATGGAGGCCGTACAATCATGTGTGTGCGTGTATGTGTGCATCCGTGTGGAATAAGAGTGTGAGTGCAGACAACAACCAGTCAGACATCATACATATGTATGAATCGGCTGTCAGGATGCGGCCATTCGACAACTGTTTGCCTTTTATGCGGCCTGGCCCAGACCATGGCCCTAAAGATAGAGCGTTGGCGTTGTCTGCCCCCGAACTCTCGAATGGAACTCGCCTATCAATTTGATGCCAACAAAAAAAAAAGAAATAACGTAAAATGTATTAGGCAATGCCAAGCAGCAACATATGCATGTTACTGCACTTATGTACTAACATCTATCTTTTGCGTTTACTTGTGATTGAATGTTGATTTAAATTTCAAAATTTGCATTGCAGGTTTAACAGGAAAATGCGATGCCGATTGATGTCCTTGATTTGTTTGTCAACTGTCTGCATATAAAAATGTAAAATTAAAACCAGCAACACATACTGCTTTTCCTGGCTGTCTGTCTGTTCTGCGAGTGTCCTTTCATGTGTGTGCATTTTAATTTGTATATGTTACAACAACAAAGGAGCTGCCTGACTGCTTTTTCTTTGTTGTAAAACGTTGTGGTTGCGCCCTCTGCCTACATTTTATTTTATTGTTGTTATTGTTGCTGGCTTTCTGCTGTTGTTATTATTGTGGTTTTTACAATTTTCATGCCCTTCCCAGTCTACATAGAGACAGACAAACACACTTACACACACTTACACACACACACACACACACACACACACACACACATACACACAAGAGCGCGCATATGGAAATCCCACACGGCTTTTCTATATTTTCCAATCATGTTCATGGCTCCACTCTACCTGCGCATTTGTCAGGGCATTATGCGGCTTGATGGGTATTAATAAAGCAAATAGCTATGCCACTTTGTTTTACCGACCACCTCACACACTCTAACACAGCTTGCTCGGCTCTCTCTGTGGGCTGCTCTGGAACTCGTGTGCGGCTTTGTTGCTGCCAATTAGTGATAGTCCTTCTAATGGCTTGCCCTGGCTTTGGAGCTTGCCTTAATTTTGACTTTTGTTCTAGCCATCGAATGGATGTTTTTGCTAGTCTATTTCCTTTCTTGGATCGCTTCCTGCTGTGATTGATGCAGTTGTAAAAATTGCGACCATTTAGCACCTGAGCGATGCATTCGTGATATACTGATACACTATGAGGAGCATTTAAAGGGTGTATATAGGAGGGAGAATCATGTTAGTTTCTTTCCGTATCAGCAGAAAAAGAATATTTAATCATCAATATGTTTAAACATCTTTGGATCGCCATCATAATTTTTTGTGTGCTTTCAACATGCAAAATGCTTTCCAATCACAGATCATATCTTGTTCATCTACCGCCCTAAATATTTAAATCTTGTTTTGTTTAATTGCTAATAGAGATTTTCCTCACAAAGAGTGTTTCATTTCATTGTTTGTTGATCAAATAACATCAAAGTACAGAAAGGCCAGTGTCAACGCATCTATCTATCAACAATGCAATGCCTTAACCATCGTCTGGGATCAAAGCCAACCGAGGCGAAGTGATGCTGACTAGAACTGTTTTGGTGTTGGTGGTTCGCTCTATAACAGCCGGACTTAAGATAACATTTAACTTGAATAATTAGGAGGCATAACATGAAATAAGTTATCTATAAAAGTTGGTATAGAAGCCATTAACATTTGTCTTAAGACCGAAACCAGCACGCTTTTGCAACTCAATATTATTTAGACTGTATAGGTACAAATTTTCCTATTGTTTCTCTACTCTGCTGGCGTGGTAACTCGAACCCCGACTGGTCCCTCGAATTATTGAGTAAGTATTTGAGTAACCGAACTTGTCTAAGTAGTCTTAAACGTCCAGTTGAAACTCAAAAGAATCGTTCTTGTTGGGGTTTCTTTTCGATTTTTGGATCCGTCCAGAACTACGACATTTTAGAGCTAGAATTATTCCTAGAAAAGTGGAAAGTGGATCTTTATGTGCTCACTTAACACTAGTTTCTAAGACTTACAACGACTTGTGCAATGCAAATGAGTAGTATGGCTAAGGTGTTAATACTTGCGTAGTACAAAGATAAGTTATCCAACCCACTCCCTTCGTAAAAATCTGCATCCGCATACCGTGGCGAGTATGTTCGACTAATCCACAGCAGCAATTCGCTTTATTAACTTGCATTCCGTATCTCGTTGCCACACCAGTTAATTAAAATCTTTATCTACACTGTGCTCATATCGCTTACATTCCAACTCCACTGAACTGTAGCACAACGATGTCACGTGGCCGGGTGAGCTTTTTTTTTTTTTTTTTGTATTTTATTTTTTTACCACTGCACTTTTCATTTGTATAATTTCACCTTTGCTTTCCTTCATTGCTGACTTTGTGCAGCTGCATAATTTTGCGCCGTTGTTTCTCTTTGGTCGTTAGACCTTCGACCCCCGTTCCGCCATTCCGCCATACCGCCATACCGCCACCCTCTCGGCCTGTCGCCCTTTGGCCGTGTATTAACTTTAGCAATTTAACTTTTTAATCAACATTTGCTTTTGGTTTTCACTTTTACTTCACGCTCTGTGTTAATTAAACAAGGTGCGAGTTCTGTTTGGCTTTTATTAAAAACTTTTTTTTCCCCTATACATTTAAATATTATGCTTTTTAGCGCAATGACTGACTGGCTGACTAACTGACTAGCTGAGTGAGCGAGTGAGTGAGTGAGTGAAGGAATGAGTATATGGGTGACTTCATAAGTGAGTCACGTGCTTGGCAAAGTTTACGGCATATGTCGCGCTGAGTGCATGTTGGTTAACCCATGGCAACGTAATGGCACTTTAATGACACATCAGCTACTTATGCACTCGGCTCACTATTCAAGTGCGTTGCTTCCTGTGCTCTCTCATGTGTTTTTTTTTTTTATTTTTTGTTTACACACTTCAGAAAGATGAGAGGAAATAAGAGCATTTAAAGAACGATGTATGTAGTACTTCAGTTGATTGCAGTTGTAACGGTTAGAATGATTTCTTTCTTATTAGTGCAGTGCAGAACGCACCTTTTGAATGCAAGAAAACAACAAGACGTATTTATTCTATAGAAATTATATAGAAATCGTCGCAGAGCCAGACCTTCTACAACTGTCCGCAGTTTAATCGGCATTTAATACATTTGATCCCATCTTCCTTATCGCAAATCATACTCAGTGATAGGCGGCAATCATGGTCAGCAAAAAAACCACGTTACGTTAGCAATTGTAACATTGTAGGTATAATAATAATATATATAGGGTATTGCGAAATCGTCCAGATTTGTAGCACCCAGGCACCATAAAATATATACATATATGTATACTTTATCAGCAGAATAAAACCAATCGTTTTAGAAATGTCGATCTTTTTGTATTAGGGCAAGGATCTCGGAAAGAATAAGAGCTAGAGTTACCGAGCTGGAGGAGGGACACAACAAAGCTATGGCTATTTTTTGATGCAGCCCATTACTTCCCATCTGTGAGTATACTTTTGCTTCAAGATTGATCATCTTCAAGATTGTCATCTGGGATCTACTAAATGCGTTTCCCCCCGATACAGTAGTTTTAGTATAACTTCTGTAATTCGTGGAATATCGATTTTTATTCCATTATTTTCTTTTATTTTATTTGAATGTGTGAAGCTTGCTTATAAGACAGCTTTCATTTAACAACACATTAAATAAACCAAATTAAACGAATTTATTAATTGGTTGCCTGACTTAAGTAATTTTGATTAATAAAGTAGATGCCTTAAGATCGAGGCTGACATAGAGTTCGAAACAGTTTCTCTATTGTCAAATTAACCGATCCTTTCTTTTTGTACTTTTTTCTTAAGTTATGTTTAGCCCCTACTTGTTTTCTTTAATTCATTGGTGTTAAGGTAACTAAAAACAGAGCTTTCCAAATTATTATTGATAGTAATTCATACTTACATTGCACATCCAGCAATAGCGATGCATTCTGGCGAATTTTTAGCGTCGGATGCTCCATGACGCACAGAATCCGAGCATTGTGATGCGCTCGATAGACGGCTGGTAGACGGGCGTCGCTCTTGGCTCCGCCGTTGATTTTATAGGAATTCTTATCCTGAAAAACAGAAAAAAAGATGCCAGTTAATGTCGTCTCAAGCTAATGCCTGGCGAGTCCAATTAGGCAAAATGACAAGCCAGGCGAGCTCAATTAGGCAGCCAGAGGCCTGTTATCAGCGACTTGTCGCCCGGCGTCATTAATTCAAATTAAAGCCCGAGTACAAGGCCAAGAGGCCAATGGCCCTAAACTTAAAGCGTGCTGGCAGAGCTTGACATGCAAATTTGTTGTCTGCGACATCAACATCAAGCAGACCGTTCTTCGTCGCTCGGCGCTCGGTGCTCGGTGCTCGGCGCTCATCGTAAGCGTCTGGCACAGTTTTCAATCAATCATTTGGTGGTGCAGCAAGGGCAGATGTGGTGGGGGGTGGGCGGTCGTTATTTGGTCGAGCGGTTGGTTTGCTGGTCGTTCTGCAGCCAAGCAACTGAATAGAACACAACACGCAAATTTGTGGCATTTAGGGTATGAACTACACACACACATACACAGACAAACAACCACATACATGTACACATGCACACACAGATACAGACGTACGCATTTGTGTCGGCACTTCGATGTGTTTGACAGGTTGCCAGTCAGTCAGTTGTTGTTTCTATTGTTCGTTGCTTAGATGTGGGTGTATGGGTGTATGGGTGTGTGTGGCCAGCGGCCAGTTTATGCAACGCTTGACCAAAATGTCTGCTTTTCATTATGCTCGAGTGCAAGACAAACAAATTTGGCGCAACCGCAACCAGCCAACGGATACGACTCGCACAGCCCAGGCAGTTGTTTGTAAGCCGGTCAGCCGCTGTTATCCACACTAATGTGTTTGCTGTTGTTGTCTGTGTGTGCGTAGTCTGTGGTTTCACATGGTTTGCATTAAAATGACAAAACAATATGTCAAAGTGTCAGCAGTTTGCTAAGCCGCACGCCGATCTGCCCCTCACTGCACCACACCTTGCCACCCACGACTGTCACCCACCCGCAATGAGCACTCAATTTGCTTAATAAACACTCTCACAGCAGTTACCTTCTCGCTTTTGATCTCCTCCAGCTCGAGCACCTCGGCGGACACCTTCTGTGCGTGCCTATCGACACCGGGGCTGAGCAACACCTCCCAGGTGAGAGTGGGCTTCGGATTGCCACCCTCGCTGATGCAGGCCAGGTTGAGCTCCGAGTTTTCTTTGACCGGCACGAAAATATTGCCGGCGTCCAGACGACGCGAATCGATGAGCAAATAAGGAGGCTTAGGTCGATCTATGGGGATAAATAAAGTATTTTATTTAGGCGATTTCATGGTATCATTATATTGTTTACTTTATATTGTTCCTAAGTACCTAAGAGAACACATACATATTTTGCATTTAATTTAAATTTTAAATCGTTATTAAAAACTAGACAGGAAGCTAGAAAATGAATTAAATAGATGACTGTCTTTGATATAAAATTTACTCTAATAACATAAGATAGTTGTTTTATTTTTTTAAATTATTTTAATACATCTTTTTAGAATTTAAATATATGAATGGTTATAAATTATTATTTTGTATAGACTGGATTTTATCTTAGAATAATGTAATTTTATAAATATTCCAAGATCCGATGGAATATTTCTTTATATTCTGTTTTTCTTTCTTTACTTTTTAAGTATTCCATTCTAGAGCTTCTAGAAACGGAAAGTTCTATCAAATTTTATAAAATTATACAAAATATAATTTTTTTCAAAGTAATTAATTGGCTTTCTTTTAGTCTCAAGTTGGCTAACAAAAGTCTGAGAGACTTATATGAAATATTGGTATTCTGCATATTACCTTTTATTTAGATACCTCTTCTAATTGAATGGACTAATTGTCTGATGAATAAACCCGCCCTAATCAGGTTCGAAATTAAATGTTTATTCTTTCAGTTTGAAAATTCAGCTAACCAAATTGAATATTCTTTAATAATATTTTTAGTTGTTAAATGGAGTTCTGAAACATGATTACGTAAACTATATGCTTATGTATTTAGGCAAACACCTAAGTGTGATAAATAAGTATAAAATATCGCGCTAAGAAGTAGGCTGCATACCTCGAAACTGAGCAAACGGAAGTTAAGCGAATCATGAAAGCGTGCTACAGTTTTTATTTTCATCAGGCTTAGTGCGCACTCAACTGTACTTTCTAATAAGCAAAGTTTTTGGCGCGCTAAGCCGCCTGAGTTGCCAACAATGACAATAACAAAAACAAATGGGAACGAAGACGTCGTCGTCGTCGTCGTCGGCGAAGTCGTTAAGGCGCTCAAGACTCGCTGGCTCAGTGCCTCTCACGTTCCTCGTTTCGCAGGCTATCTCCCACGCTTTGTCCTCAGCTAATTTTGCAAATGTAACGACCTTTTTAATATTTGTCTAAACTTTTTACATACCCAGGACGACCAGCTTGACGGGTCGGGCGTTCTCGGTGTAGCGGCGCGTATTCTCCGCCTCGCACTGCCACTTGCCATCATCCTCCAGCATGACATTGGTGATGGTTAGCGCGCCATTAGCCTCCTTGATGAAGCGATAGTCGGTGACGCGAGATGTGCGGTCCATGGCATGCACCACCTGTGGTGACGAGAGGAGGAGAAGATCGCGCTATAGTTGGCGTTTATTACTGCAAGTTGGGGCATTAAAACTAATGTCTACTGAACTGTAGCTATAGCGAGGACTTTGACTTGGGCCGTGACAGCCATAAGCCTTAGCTCGCTTCCTCCTTCAAGAAAGAAGGAGTGGGGAGCGCAAATTATGCAAACGCTTTAAACTTTTAATGCAGCCATGATACCCACTGCTATGCGGCTTGCATTAAATGTTAATAAATTTTATAATAAATGCGCACGATGCACAAAAGTGTTCAGGGGGCTGTTGAAGGGTATGGGCGACCATCCTGCATGTGAGCCTGTGAGAAACAATTGCTTTTAATGTTTTAATATGCGCGCATTTATTTACACTTGCCACCACGGCCTGGAATTTTATTACACTTTACCACCTCCCCCCTATCCGCAAAAGCCCCAATCGAGTCGCATTTCAAACAAAAATAATAATGACAATTAAACGAGGTTATGCCAGGGATTTAAACTCCACCATCCTCCCCCGACACCCAATTTAATGGGCCAACAATGAAGTGGCACATGCGGCTTTAAAAATGTTGCAAATAGTTGCGCGGCGGGTATTGTCCGTTGGAAGCTTAATGCTCTGAAATGTTCGCTTTAATTTATGTGCGCATTCAAATGCTGGGTGAAAATATTGAAAATAACAAAAAATATATAAATAAACATTTTTGCGCATGTCCCGTCGCACTTAATGCGTTTAAGTGGCAATTAAATGAGTTTTGAGGCGCAGCTGAAGCGGACGGGGACAGGAACGGGGCCTGGGGACCAAGCGGCAGCAGAATAGCGACAAAAACAATGTGGCGTGGGTACGCGGTAATAAATGAAAAATAATTTTAATTATACACACTTGTATATACATACATATATGCGGCTTAACTTTTGGTCGTGTCGAAACCGCATTCGCTGCTACTGTTCAATAAATAAACAAGCTTAAGAGCTCAGCACTGTATTAATACAGACAATACAATATGAGCGGGAATATCGTGCAACATCGGGAATGCTTTGCTCTCGAAGAAAGCGTAAGAGCATCTATTCAATAGAACTGAGAGCAGGGAACCGTAATTCATATCGTAATTGGTTGAACAGAGAAATGTGCATTTTCAAAAGCTAGCAGTCCAGGTGATGGCAGATCCTTTGCATTTAGTTGACAAGTGAAAAGGGAATAAATCCGATTCGCGATGTCTTCCACAGCGCCTGCAATGCTTCTTCCTGACTGACACAGATGGTATTTATTTATTTAAAAATCAATATCTAATCTTTTTGCCATTATTTACAACAACGACAAATATTGAAACATTATAAAACAGAATTTAAGACTAAAGAAATGCAGCAATAGTAGATGACAAAATGGTAAATAAGAAAAAAGTGGTTTCTATGAAAGATAAGGTGGTACGGAAACAGAATGCAGTTGGCAGCCCTTAGTAATGGAGGAATAAAGGTTTATTGTAACTGTGAAGATTATATGGTGTGTGTTCAGTTTCAGCGCAGACAAAGGTTACTTATTAGCTCCTGTCACCTGGTTTCGTCGTTTGGTGTCGTTTTGAAAAAAAATTGCCAAAAAATGACTGCTCGAATTAATTTTTCCCCAACAGTTTTTGTGCAGGTTGGCAGCACCTCGTGCCCACTGGGGCGCCAAGAGAAATGTTTGTTCCATCGAAAATGTGTGGAACAGCTGTTTCAATGTGCTAGATTGGGGCTAAAGCGATTTCTGTGACACATGACGGGATAAGACTTGGTAATATATCAGCAAGCAAATCCGTTTCGGAATTTGTAATACCCCTATACCCATAGCTCATAGCCATTTTAAAAATGTCATAATATTTTGCATGCAGTAAGAACAGATGGCTTCATATTTACTTTGGTTAGTTTTCACTTACACACTTTTCCATTTTAATTCTTACTCTATAATTCCTTCAACAATATTCTCCTTTTTTAACTTCTTTCAACAGAGTCCTAACTATTGTCACACAATTCAGTGTTTCGCCATAATATGTAAAGTTTTTGTTGTCATTTAAAAACAACAACAACGAAATATGTAAGCATAATATTTGTATGCTGCACTTCCGTTTCCGCTGCGTGAGGCCCCAATTTTTATTTCTCCTTGTTGTTGTTTAAGAGTATTTTCGGTCTAGTTATGATTTTTGTATGCATTTTTCATATGCAGTAAAAATATATATAAGCGCTATATTCAATTCTTTTTTGGCTTCCATGGCTTAGTTGTATCTGCAATATACTTGTATTTATGCGAGTGTGTGTGTGCGTGTGAGCTTGTGTTTGTGGAACTTCCGTCAGCCATTTGCGGCAGTCGCCACAGCGGCCGTAGCTGAAATTTATTAACCAGCCAACGGTTGTCGGGCGGCGCATTTGACTGGATTTTTGTTCAACGGCGCATTCAGTTGGAAATTTATGAGGTAACATGGCAGAGTTGGCCGAGCTTTGACAACACGTTTGCCCATTCGGCCATTCGGCCGTTTGGCCATTTGGCCGACTGCACCTGCATGGAAATAAGGACAGGACTGCGCTTGGGCTGGGACTGGACGTTTTTGGCAACATGGCCGCTAGACAAAAGCGTTAAATGAGCGTGGCAAATCCTTGTTTACACCATCAAGCGGCTAACTGTGAACGCCAACAGCCAACGGCCAACAACAGACAGTGAACAACGTACAACGAACAACAACAGCCAACAACAGCCAACAATAATAAAGACAAAAACAACAACAACAGTAATAACGGATTACACGCACGATTGTTTTGGCATGCAGTTGGGCGAGCTACAGCTTCATGGCTAACTGGCCAAATGGCCAACTGGCTAGTTGGCCAAACGGACAACTGGCTAACCGGCCATGGATCGTGTCCATTGTGCGCTCTGGGCACTTTATGCGGCATTAAATGAACGCGCGAGTCGCACGCTGGTTGGGGTAATTATAATTTTTCGCTTTTGTTTTCCATTCTATATGGTTGTTATACATTGTTGCATATTTTAAGGCGCTCGGCTTACATTTCGCCAAATGTTGCGCAGTTCTGGGGTTTTCTGTTTTTATATTCGCGTGCATAATTTTACATAATTTTCAGGCTTGTTATCAGCTAACGCAATTTTCCACTGCTCACATACATATATGTGTGTTTTCGTGTGTGTGTGTGTGTGTGTTTTGCCAGATATGGTGAATTATAGCCACATATTGGGAATAGTACTATACGCCATACAAAACAAATGCTTTGTTTCGAATTCTAGAATTCATGCATACAATTCATGAGGATTGTGCGATTTAAAAAACCTTGTATTTTTATCATTTTCTATTGAAAATAATATTACAATATAGGCTACTATAGTCAAGAGAAAACTAAAGCTGAGACTGCTCATATTTTGATCATGAATTGCGTATTTTTTATTTTAACATAGTTGATTTAATAAATCATGCAATAGCATAATAGGGGAACCCTTTAACTCATACATGTCATGTACTCTAAGTAGTATGTAGTGGGTAATAGATGATATAAGTTTTTCAAAAGTAGCTTCTATATTCAAGAAAAAGCGAGAAATACCTCGACGACTGACAATGGTTTAGAGTTGAAAACTGTAATACGTACATATCCTTAAATCTGCTCAGTTGATATTGTTGAATATAATGCTCTCATATTGAAAACAAGAGGTCGTTTTCTCGCCAAATCACTTAATGACTTTTAACTTTAAAAGTAACAATTATTAATAAACTTTTAATGAATGAACAACAACAACAACAGCAACAAAAGTTTCTTTACAAAGAATCTATTGCTCATTGCATATATTTTAGCTACAATGAAGAAATGAATATTTAGGTCCCCATATATTAAGTCTATTATTTGACTGCAATATAGTTAAGAAGGCAAATATGTGGGGTGAGAGGTTGTTTGGGGGTTTTTGTAATCATTTTGTTGGCTTCACTTGGATACTCTCCTCATTTAAAGCTCGCGCATACATCTATCTATCTATCAAAAACAGATCTTCCAAGCAGTAGCAGCTACATTACAGAAAAATGGCTACTTATATCCAACGCTTGGAATTGCAAAAATCTTGTCAGCAAACATTACTCGCTGCCTGCTGCTGTTGCTGCTGCTGCTGCTGTTGGTGCCTCCATTTCCGCCTCCATTGCTTCTGCTGCCGGCCCAAAGCTACTAACTTGAAATTGCTTTCGGCAAATATATTAGCCTCTTGATAATTTTCAACAATAAATTCTTTTGCACACACATACAAACAGACACATATATATATATATATATATATATATATATATATATATATAAATAGTACATAGCGCACACTCAAACATGCGCTCCATGGCTGAAGATGCGATAGCTGGGGGACCTTAATGCATTGTGCAGCGCTCTAGAAAGTACAACAAAAGTCGCTCATGTTGCAAGCTGTCAGTGCAACACTTGTCGCATGTCATTGCCGCAGTGGCAGTTGTAGCAAAGCGCAGAGAGCGGAAGGAGTTGTCAGTTGTCTGTGTGTGTGTGTGTTCATGTTTGTGTATGTGTGTGTGTGTTTGTGCTGAAGACAGCGTATAAGACAAAGTCAGCCAAGAGCCAAGAGCCGTGCTGCTCAGCGCTCAAATGCAATTGCAAATGCTAAGCTGACGAAGCAGTTGGGTCCTATAAGGATGGGGAAGCGGGAGAGCGGGAAAGCGGGGAGCATCGGCCAACAGTGATAATGATAAAATGTGTTTGTTCAGATAGAGCAGCAGTCGACGTATAAATACACTGAATAGAAAGTATTCGAGTCTGTGCATTAAAGAGCTTTTATTTGGGATTTGATTTTTACAGCAAGTTACAGTTCAGGAAATCATTTACAAAATTTATTGGAAAGCAATTAAGGTTCCTTACGAAAGTCGCAATTTTATCAAAAATAAACCCTTATTTTCTTTTAGAAAAGTGGCAAGTCAAGCAATAAAGACACTGAGTATTAATTTTGTGAATGTACAAAGTTGTACAATATATTCTCTTTAATACTTAATGGCATCGTATTAATCCAAAGTAATCATATTTATATATTCTTGTACACACATAAGGAAGGAATTGCTTACACAACTGAAATTGTTCATGAACAAGTGCCAGAAAATAATTCATCAAAATGCTTCAGATATAACACCAAAAATTTCAAAGCTAACAAGCAACATTCTAAAATGCAATTTGCAGTAAAAAAATAAAACAAAAATAAAATTATTCTTGCAGCACCTTGCCAGCTAATGCTCAGTACTAAAAAGGCATGGTGTGAATTGAACATTTATATATTTTGATAATTTCTGGTTGATCAAATATTAATTTATTCATGTATAACAATTAAAAAATAAATAAATTGCATATTCAACGAGAGTGAAGAAGCGAGAATTTGATTGAGAAAGCTAACCAAAGTAAAAAAGGGTACACAAAATTCATTCAGCAGTAGAGGCTATCGTGGGCTGCTCAAACAAACCCTTCTTATGTAGGTACATGTGTTCACATAAGTAAGACAATACATAAACATACTTACGCCTTGCCCCCTTCTACTACACATAGCACATACATACATATAAACATATGCACTTCGTTGCCACATGATTGCTGTAATTGCAGCAATGCCGTGCTCAGCTTCTTCTTTCACTTGGCGGCTTTTGTTTTAACACAACTAATACAATCGCACCGTGGGGAAATGTGCTGCAGCAGCAAAGGACGACGACAGTGGCAAAGATTGGTGGTGGTGATGGCGCTGGTGGCGTTGATTTTATTCGCCATCGCTTGCAGCCACTCGGCGGCGATTCGCTCATCTCACTCCATCTTAGAGCCGCCATTTCCACCAGTCCCTCACGACAAGGCTCAAAGCATTGCAGCTAACTCAATAAACTTGTCAAAGGTACATACCAAGTACAAAGTACAAGTAAGCGGCATGGGAACAGCTCGACTCCCTTTCCACCCTCTCCTCCCACGACAGCCTCTGCCCGATTTCGTCGCTCCATCTTCATCGGCATCGGCATCGCATTGTGCTGCTCATTTTCAGCTGGGGATTTGAGTGATTAATTTCTCGACTTGATGTGATTTAGTTGTTGCATCTTCGTGTTCTGCCTCTCGACTGCCGGATAGTCTGCTCTATTAATGTCTTGTATTAAATTTGCTGCAGTTTGCGCTTTGCGGCACCTAATTGGCTAATGGCAGCTTAGCGCTGCTGGCAAATTTATGGCGAGAGTCGACCAGCAGCACAGCTTCCGGGTAGCCCATGAATGCTAGCGGCAAAGTCTGTCGACCTTAAACCTGAGCTGTTTTCATGTTCATCTTTAAAAAATGGGAACACTACACACGGCAACAACCATGCCCATGCCGATGACACCAACAACAGCAACAACAACGGTGCGCAATAAATAAGTTGCAGCTGTTGCAAGCCATGCAACCATAGAAGCGCCATATCAGTTGAGGCGCCTCTGTCGCCTATGCTGTTGACTATCTTCTTATACTTGTAGGCTAGTACAGTAAGCTATCTGCAAAAATAACTCTACAGTATTTCAATACGGAATCAAGCTAAGTAACAGTATTCCAATAATCTCTTATCTTAAATACTAAGTGGTAAGTGTTCAACTTTAAATGTCATTCATTTTTTCTGGCAAAGAAACACCACGAAATTGAATTTACTTTCTACTTTTAAGATATTCTTTTTAAATATTTAACCTTTATTTAAGATCTGTCCTGGGTTGGAAAATATTGAAATTTTTTCAGATCACTTTGAAATTTAAATCATGTTTCTCTAACTCTAAAGTTTTGAATTTTGTATGGTAGTTCTAAAAAATATTGCTTTAAGAAGAACTACTGCTGACAAATTATTTATCCTAAGTTGAGTTCTACCATATCATTGTGGCACAAACCGACTTTCCCACACTCTAGTGAAAATATAGTTCCAAAATTAAAATTTTTAGAACTATATTTTTAATTTGAACTAAGTTCTACATCATTCATCATAAAAATGTTATCTGATTGTCTCCCCGATCATGGTTCGTTATTGCCAACTTTACCTGTTTGTTATCTTTTTGTCGTTGTTTGCGCAAAACTTAAAACCACAAGTTTTATGTCTGCCAGCGAGCCGTGGCAATTGTCGCGCGATGCGCCGTTCGCCGTGCTCCGTGCGCTGTGCACCATGTTCCAAGTTACGCTTCTCTGGAGCGACAACATATTGCACCATAAAGCCAACAAATTACAGCCAGAAGACAAGAGACAAAGACGCCAGTGCCCACAACAAAACTTTAGTTTAAGGTGCAGACAATGTGTGTGTGTGTGTGTGTGTGTGGAGGCAATGGAATAAGCTGACAACTGGAATTTCTGGGTAGACGGCACAAAATTTGATAAGCAACAAATAAGCTGAAAATGTAATGCTGCCAGCGAAAATATCAAACGACAAAAAGGGGGAAAATATCGACAATGCAATTGCCGTCAATTCGCTGGCTGACAGTGCCGAATTTAACGGTAAATAAAAAAGCAGTGCACTGCTCAGACAAAGATTGTCGACGACAACAAAGTGCAGTAAACATTGATATCCAGCAACAAGAACAGCAGCAACATCTCGAACGAAATCAGCGCCAAAAATCAACCGAAGTCAACAGACGTGTCTGGCATTTTGTTGGCGGCAAAATCAAGTGGCAAGAGGGCTGTGTGGGAGTGCAACAATAAGTTACATTGTTGACAAGCAATTTGATGGTTTTGACATGAAAATAACATTTAATTTAAAACAGCTTCAAATGCGAAATAACAATTGTGTAAATAAAGGTGCCAGCAGATGAAAGTTTAGGGGGCCGCAGCAATGCCAACAAAAACAATGTTTGCATGTGCAGCCCACAAGTATGCAACACTCTATGGCGAGACAAATAAACACACACACATACACACACATGCAACCAAACTGGTAAACACACACCTGGGCCTGGGCCTGGGCTTGAGTTTGGGTCTGGGTCTGGGCCAGCATCTGGGCAACTGCACTTTAAATGCAAGCCAAGCCACAGACCGCGTACAAAAGTGTTGCCATTGTAGTTGTTGCTGTTATTGTTGTTGGCAGAGTTGTGTTGTGTGTTGGTTGAGTGTGTTGGGGCAACTACTATGTAGTATTTGCCCATCAACAACTTGGCCTGCTCTCCACGCGCCTGTTACTGTTACTGTTTCTCTTTCTGTTATAGTTGTTGTTTTTATGAGCCATGTTGTATTTACACTGCAACTATGGCCAACAGACAGTCGAGTGGCGTTTGCACCCTAGAGCTGCCTTCCATTTTGTTTTTTTTTTTTTTACCACTCACTCGTGCAATTTTAAAAATGTTGCCCTTAACTCTGCAGCTGTATTTATGGTTGCTGTTGGTATAGCAGTTATAATTGCATTATGCCAAAAGGTAGACTGCACTTTGGTTATTTTTTGTGCAATTTTTTTTATTTACACTCACAATTATAACTCAATAGCTTGAGCGGAAACTGCAGCTAACTGTTTTAACATGTTTTTTAATTTTTCCCCCATTTGTTGAATACTTTTTCACACATTTTCACATTAATTTTAATAATCATTTTACGGAAGAAAGTTAGCCATCAAATAGTAGCTATAAATATGTTTATGTGCTCTTAAGATAAATATTCGCTGAAGCCCTTTAATATTTTTCGATGTACATCAAAATTTATTAAATTAAACTTTAAAATTAAATAAATAGATTAAGTACGTTAGTTAAATCACTTTAAATTATATTAAAAAAAAATATTTTTAACTAGTGCATTTATTTATGATGTATTCTTGTCGCACTAGTAAAATAAGAAATAAATAAATAAAAATCAAATCCGACTATTTTGTCTGGCGTTTAGTGGGTTTCCTTTCAAATTTTATCTACCATTTTTGTTCTGCCATTCTGAATGTTCACTGCAGAAAATATTCTTTCTTCTGGGTTTTGTAGCCTAATAAATGAACTTCTTTTCTATCAGTTGAGATCAAATTTAATCCCTTCTTGATTAAAAGTTAGCGCTATGTGATGGATCAGTTGGAAAGAAAACCCTAGAGTTGACACTAAAAACCATTACTAATTTGCCGCACTCTGAAGAGTCTCACAAGAAATGTTCACTTAGAGGAGCCAGCAAACATTCCTTATTATAGTAAGCGTCTAAATGAGAATTGGAGTGAGATGAGTGTGAGCTGATGCAGTCAAGGACCAGCCAGCAGCCTTTGTATTTGAGCCCGTTTAAAATGCTTTTGACATCAGTAACTATCAAATAATAACGATTATCCTATTTGCATAATGTGGCAGTTAAACGACAAATAAGCGCGACACAAAGGGCAGCAATAGAATGAAAACCCAGCAGTGAAGAGAATAAAATAAAAGAAATGTAAAAGCAGGCGACGGACGCACTCGAGACATCTTGGCAGCGAGCGCACCAAGTGACAGACTTGTTGAAGAAGGAGAACTAAAGGGGGCCGACAATGCACAGGACACTCGGTGCAATAAAAAATACTTTATACATGCATACATATATACCTTCAGATATAGCAAAATGAGCCGGGAAAAGTAAAAAGCAGCTGAGAAAATACGCTAGAGTCGAGGGAGGTCTTAGCAGACTATAAAAATAGCGAAGATTGCGGCAACTGGCCAAGTTCTGGGAGCATAGAAAATAAAAAATATAGAAAAATACGCGTGGAATGCAATTAAAGGCAAAAGCGGCCAACAAATTGGCGGCACGGACAAGATAACTATATTCAGGGGAAATACGAGAATTCTTTGGAACTCACCTGCCCATTTTTGTACCACATGCTCGATGCAATGTCCAGGTCCACCTCGCACATGAGTCTGATTTCCGAATGCTGCTCTGCATAGACCACCGACATCTCCTCGTCCTCATACGGATTGGGCAGCACTGGTCGCAGTGGCAGCACACGCGGCTCCAAAGGCTCGCCATCATCATCGTCATCATCATCGTCGTTGGTGTTGCCAACGTCATGCCCCTTGGCCGCAAACAAATCACGCGTGGAGGTGCCGCTATCGAACTCCTCCACATCATCGATAATTATGACCGGCTCTTTGGGCTTGGGCTTCATATCCTCCGGTGCCAAGTGTACCGTGGACCGCACACGTTTCGCCTTTGCGGTTGTGCCCAGCAGCGATTCATTCACATAGGCAGGAGTGACGCCACTGACGCCACTGCTGCCACTACTTCCACTACTGCTGCTGCTGCTGCTACTGCTGGTGGCTGCTGCAGAGACGGCGGCTGTGACTGTGGTCGCCATTGTCGCCTCAGTTTCCTCCTCAGTTTCACGCCGCAGTCGCCGTTTGGGCGCCTCTTTATGCTGATTCAGGCGGTGCGCCTGATGCCCTCCATGGTTCTTTAGCCGAGCGCGCCACTTCGCCATTTTTGCTTTGACCTTGGAGCAGTTTTTGGCACATTTTTGTCGCTGACGCTCCTTCTCATGCCTATGGTCAACTTTTGAGTGCAGCCGAGCCACTACTGTCACATCCGCCGAGGCGTCGGCATGGCTGTGTGTCAATGGTGTTGATGGCGCCTGCTGCTCTGATATGCTGCGCCATTTTGTTGCTGCGTGTTCGGCGGGCGACTTCTGTGACTTGTTGTTGATATTTTGTGGTTGTGTGTAGGTGGTACCTGCAAACAAAAATAATTGCATTAGTTGGCAGTGGAAAGAAGAAAAGAAATTAACTTGTAGCTCCATTACACATGAGAGTGTGCTTGAACTAATTAGTAACATCCTATTAGTGTAGTTAGCTATCGATTAATATTGACAGTTTTAATAAAAACAACAAGAAAAACTGAACTGGAAATTAAAAAGTCGTTTTTCTTGTGCACAATTCAATGGAAGATATGCGGTAAAAGAAATGCTTAACAACTTTTTACTTCAGTAAAGTAATATTTATGTATATGCTACGTATTTTAAGAATCTTTAATTAATTCAGCAGAATTGAAGAACTCCAGCTATACGACAATACTTATATTTCGCAGATGACTTCCCTTGTGAACAGGCGTTGCCCACGCCGGTGCAAAAGTAAACATTTATTGGGCTGGAGTATCAATTACGTGGCATTGTCTCTCGTGTAAATCCAATGAACACATACGCTTACACGTCTCATGCATTTATTTATGATACTTTACGGCCCCAGAGGAGGCAGAGAGAGGAACAGAGAGTTGAGTGTTGGCGAAGCAACCGGCTCGATGGCAGTGCTCTATTTAGTTGCAGGTTGCACATGCAAACAGCTCGACACTGTGCAGTACTTGTGCACAAATGTAGCTTCCTCCTTTCAGCCTCTGCTGCAGTCCCACTATACTATGCTGCTGCATGCACAGATATTCCTTTGCTAATCCATTGCCTTCCAAAGCAATTTTCATGCCTAACTTTTGCTGCCCTGTCGTGTCGCCCTTTTATTGTGGCTGTTATCGTGCTGTCGTTGGCCCAACTCCATGGCAACAGTCCACTGTTGCAGCTCCTGTTGTCGTTGTTGTTGTTGTTGTTGTTGATAAATTTACACAAGTGTATGACAAGCTTTCAAATGGTAATTAATATTCATCTGAGACGGGCTATCAAAAGACAACGCACACCCACACACAAACACACCTATGCCGAAGTTAACTGTAGCCGCCAGCTAGGCGCAGACTGTGGTTAACACTGGCACTGTCAGGAACCAGAAAGCCCCAGGAAGGAGACAGAAAGACAGAGAGAGAGAGAGAGAGTGAGAGAAAGATGGGCCAGCAGTCATTGTCATTGTCTGTTTTGAGTTGTTTTGTTCTCAGCCCTTTTCTACTAATGGGGCGTAGTGGCTGAGCTGCATCTTGTGGCTCTTCGGCTAGCATTCATTCTTCTACATACTTTGTGTTCGTAGCTAAATTAAAGTTGTCATTTTTCAAGTGAGCGCACAAAAGTGTGCAATGCGCCTAATAAATTTGCACAGCCATTCGGGTCTCATAGGCATAACTGGCAGTGGCTCGGAGACAATAGGCAAGTCATTTGCACTGGCACTGGCAGTGCTAGTGATGGGCTGGTAACTGGTGGAGTGGGGGGGGGGGGGGGGGGGGGTGTGTGTGCAGCGACTTACATGCATAGAATACACATGTACACACATATACGAGTACATAAACATGGGAGCAAACAAAAGTGGGGATGACGATGACGAAGAGAGCAGTGCTAAAATGTTTTCACAACTGCTTAAAAGTCTGCTACACTTTTCCAGCCAGCCTGCCAAGTGCAAGTACACACCCATACACATACACATTTACATATATATGCGTGCTCATATGCGCGTGTGTGCAGCTTGCTTGTTTACTTGTAGTTGGAGTTGTTTGTGCTGTAACTTAAGTTGTAAATGAAGATTGCGTCAGAAATTTTCCGAAACGACGGCATCTTTCCTAGGCGGTATCTATGTATATCTATGTGTAGTAGGTGTGTGTGTATTCCTTGCAAATTTAATGAAGCACCCACCTACACACACACACGCCGACCTGCTCGCAATCACTTTGTCTAGCGTTTGGCACATGCTCGTGCAATGTGCGGGTGTGTTGAAATTTTGTGGCATACTCGAAATGTGTTGCATACGTTGCGGCGCATAAATTGCCGCGCGCATATGCAGCAGGAGTATGGAGTAGGAGAAGAAATAGTAGTGGGTGAGGCTTACGCCACGCCGTTGTTCGACAGTTAATCAAATTGATAGTTTGGATGAAGTTATTGTCGTTTAGTTTATTAAGAGGCAAAAAAAGTTGAGCCCCACAGCGTGTCGACAACAACTGACAATTTTATTGACTTTTATTGTTGCACATTTTAACACGTTTATCGTTTAACGTTTCGGGGCTGTTTTTCATTTTTGTACTTGCAATGACGGTCTTTGTTCATATTTTAATTAGTAAAGTTTCAAGTTAAGCTTTGTTATTATTTTTAAATAAAAACATACATAAATTTAAGCAATTCCCTTCTTCGCAGAAATTCTCCTTTTTTGTTGGAATTATATCTAAGAAATGAAAGCTTTAAATATATTTGGCCGTAAATATGTTACTTTACACTACAAGTATATGTATAAATAAAAGGAGCTTAGAGTTATTTTCGTCTGCACTGAAGTTGTATACGTCTTACTGTGACAGTTTGAAATAAAAACATACTGGTAGGGTAAAGATTCTGAGCTATACTTCCTATTGTTTTGTATCTCCTGGAATACCATCTGCTATGAAAAAAACTCCAATCGCCTTGTTCGTCTATCCATCTGTATCTTTTAATCTCTGTTCCTCCTACGGCTTTAGGGCTAATGCGATAAATTTTTGGGACAGACACAGATTAAATGTAAAAACGGATGTGCCAAGTACAATTTAAAAAAAAAAAAACTTTTTATTTATTTAGATATTGGAACCAAATTGAATATTGAGAATTTTATTATCAAAACTGAGTGTATTGTATATTTTGTTGGTCGCGACAGTCGACTATAGATTATCGAATGGATAAGGCAACAAAAATGTATGTAAAGTAGAAAAATGTTATAAATTAACTCGAATCAACGCACTTGCAATTATTGTAATAGGTTTTGTGAATTTATTTCAACATTTCACTGTAAGCCACACGCTTGCTAAATGACAATTATGCACAGTGTTTGTTTTTTGTGCACTCAGCGCCCGTAAATATGCAATGCGTCGCTTTTTTTATTAACTGTCATGTGGTCGACGGGGTGGGGCCGGCAATCAAGCGCTGACATAATTATATGTCACTGATTACAGGCCGGCAATTGACTGGCGACGGATGTGCCTGAGTAGAGAGGATGTGTGATATGCATGTATATACTTATGTTCATATATGTAGGTGTGAGTGTGTGTGTGTGTGTATGCGATACGCCTGCCATTTAACTGGCAAATTTTCATCGATTTTATGGCCAACGAACTATGCTTATACTCGTATACGTATATGTGTGTGTGGCCGCATGGCGTTGCTCTTTTTTACGCAAACAGGCAAATGACATGTAGTTGGTTTTTTTTATGCATTGTATATAAAAAGGCTCCAATATATGCTACACTCTTCAACTGTTTTTTAATTATGTCAACAATAATTTAATGCACTTATGCCAGCAACACACATGTACATACGAGTATGCGTTTAAGTGTGTGAGTGTTTTCTATGAAAATATTATTTTATGCAAATTCACCGAGAACCCAATTCTAAAAAACTCGATTCTATTTAATGTACAATAGCATGAATTCAATTTTGGATATGAATTTCAATAAAACTTTTAATTATTGTAGTGTCTATTAAGGGAGGTTTTTAGTAAAAGCAATTTTATTTTTCATTTAATCCCATCGATTCAAACTTGAGCCATACACACTTCTAATATGAGGCTTTTTGAGTGCACAGTCCTCATGGAATGGAATATGGAAATAAAAGAAAACTTTACTTCATACCGATACAGAGAAGGAAAAGACTGGACAAATTGTCGCGTGTTCTTCCTTTTTGGTAGAGTGTGCGTAGATCTATGCGACTTCAAGGAGTCATCTTATCACGAACTCGATGATTACGAGACAAGTACGTTTAGTACAATTAATAGAATAATAAATAGCATTTGACTACTTACTTCAACATCTATTGGCCCTTCGGCAATTTCACCAAATAGGTTTCGTCTACTATGCTATAGGAAGAAGCTTGGCGCTAACAAGAGTGTTTAAGGGACGAAAAAGAACGGGACGAAGGACTAATTCCAAGTTTAAACAAATTTGAAGCAAAGGATTATCCGTATTCGTAATTTTACACATTGTTCTTTGTTAACATCAATAATTAAGTTCTTAGTTATTTAGTCAATAATCGCATGCGACTTCTTGATCAGAATGAGTTTTAAATAGTATTGATAAATATATGGTACCTGTACCTTAAAGCTCCATTGAATTATAAGATTGGTACACACCTCTATGGCTATTATAACTAGAATAGGATTCAATGCATTTATCTTAGTATTCATTTACTAATATCAAGTTCCGAAGCTAGAGCTTATGTTACAAAAAAGTTTACAAAAAACTATACAAATTAAGTAAGTTTGTAAGCTAGAAAACAAAGATTGCGATCTTAGTTTAATTCACAATCAAAAACAACGAAAATTTGTTGTTAATGCAGAACATACATTCGTGAAAGTCCCCTGCAATTGTCTGCATTGCTTTAAGTTTTCATTCCATAAAGCAATAACACTAACTAATAAAGAAATATGTACAAATAATGATCAATTGTTCCCACGTTCGATAAAAGGATTCGTACGATCCAGTGCTCCCGGGTTGAAAACAGTTTCACACAATCATGTGGTATGGGAAAATTCTCAATTGCTCATGACTCTGGTCGACTATCCACATTTCAACATAGAAAAGGCAACATCGTGCTGAGTCCTCGTTTTTCAGTGCATTGCAAAACAGTCTTGATTATGCGATTCCTTTGGACATGGAAATATCTGCATTCCAAGCTCAGAACGCCACCACCTCCTCGCATAGGTAATGCCATCAGAGCAATGTGCTTCGTACTCCCCGATTGGCCCCCCGATTGGCCTACAATGTGCGCAGGCTGTGGCTGTTTCTTAACATGGCTTGCATGTGTTATGCGCTCGATGCACCTGTGTGAGTGGCGCGTGCATTGTTTAAGTTTCAGG